AGAAAAGCAGAGCACACAAAACAGCTTTGGGGTCGTCACACTGAGTTAGGAGTGGGGCACGGCAGGAGAAATTGGGGAATCATCTGTAAAAGCACAGCTGGGGTAAAAAGGGTTAAAAAAATTAAATCGGGAGAACGCCATCCATCCGAAAAAAAGGATTATTTCCCTTTTTTTTTTTTTCTAGTAAAACCCTCCTCGGGCAGCGTTAAAGAGACACCAGCGCGGTTTGTGCGCGTTTGGATTCATTTCGGGGTTAATAAGCGCAGGCTGTCGGGTTAAACGCTTCACTCCGAATTTTCGGGAATTGTTTTCCCGCTGGAAATACCGAGCTAATGATCTCTTGATTGCGTTTGACTCTCTCCATCTCGGGGGTGACGGGGGTGGGGGTGGCTTTCCCTATGTTTTCCTTATACAACACCTGCGGGACGAGAGAAAGGAGCCGGAGAAAGCCACAATCAGTGCACAGCCCTCCCGTTTTTATCTCGAATTTTGCTTTTCGGGTGTTTTTAAAGCGGGTCCTGGGCTCTGTTTTAGTAGAGGAGTAGTTTGGCAGCCTATTGGGGATAAATGGTGTCAGTACCGCCTCAAAGAGCACAAAAAACCACGGGAGGGGCTGAGCACGGCAAGAAAATCCAATTAACGGCTTTAAAAGAAATGTCAGCACTGCAGAGGAAAGGAGAGGAGTTTCAGTGSGTTTAGGATTAGAACAGGGCATTAAAATCACTCTTAAAAATCAAGATCAACCCAACCAAGTTAAGATTTCAATCGGAGAAAGCCACGAGTGAGGGGTGAGCCCTGCTTGGAGCAGGAGCAGCGTTACTCGGGGAAAATCCACTTATCCAAACAGTTAAAAAAGAGCTTTTCACGAGTTAAAAGGTTCAAACTCTGTTTTTTTCAAAGAGTTAAAGGGAAGTTTTGCTCTTGGCAAAGTACCGAGCTGCAAATCTCCTGGTTGCGTTTGACCCTCTCCATCTCGGGGGTGACAGGAGTGGGGGTCCCTGTCCCCACGTTCTCCTTGTACAACACCTGCGCAACGAGAAACCGCCTCAAAAATCCGTGAAATCCCAAATTTTCTAAAGAACGGGAGCTTTAAACCCCCCACTGCAGCCTCCTGGGAAGTCACACCCTCCCTCTTCCGCAGGAAAAACACGGCGTAAAGAATCGTACATTAAAAAAAAAACAACAAAAAAAAACCCCACGCGCAAAGGGAATAAAGGAAWTCGGAACAGGGAACAAAACGGTCACAAATATTTAGGAGAAGGTCAATATTTGTCAATAATTCCATCAGTGAAGAAGTGGGGGGTCAGTAAC